GCGGCAATGTGCAGTTGAGAGTTCTCCTGGAATTACAACTGATCTGTAGACTACAGAGATCAGTTCCCACGGCATTGTATGCCACAGAGTCGTAAGAGAAATTGAAGTCCTAGAGTGGTCTCACCCTGGAGAAAATGGCAGCTTCATAGGGCAAACTGGTATCTATAGTATACCATAGGTTCTAGGTGAAATCCCTACTTGAATTCTCTCCTGCACAGGCACTGCCCCCAAATCTCCAGGAATTTCCCAAGTCAGAGTTGGAAACCTTACTCACATCCCCTCTAAGTTCTCTCCTCACCCCAAACTCCGCTCTGCCTGGGTGCCAGTCCCAACTCTCTGAGAATTTTCCAAGCCAAAGTTGGCAAGCCTTACCCCCATATGAAGCTCAGTCCTGCCACAAATGCATGGTGGCCTAAGATCACACAATTTCTTTCTCATTCTCGACAGCAATTAGGGTTCCCAACCACAGCTTGGGAAATTCCTGGAGATTTGGGGGCAGTGCCTGGGAAGGGCAGAGTCTGGGAAGGGAGCTCCAAGGGGGGTGATGTCACTCGAGGACTTGTGTTTCCCGTTTGTTGTTGTTCAGTCGCACAGTCGAGTCAGACTCTTCGTGACCCCATGGACCAGCTCAAGCCAGGCCTTCCGGTCTTCCGCCGTCCTCTGAAGTTTGCTCAATTTCATGTTCGTTGCATCTATGACACTGTCTAACCATCTCATCCTTTGCCGTCCCCGTCTTCTTTGACCTTCAGTCTTTCCCAGCATCAGGGTCTTCTCCAGTGAGTGCTCCCTTCTCATTGGGTGGCCAAAGTATTTGAGCTTCAGTTTCATTATCTGGCCTTCCAGGGAACAGTCAGGGTTGATTTTTTTAGGATTGACTGATTTGATCTCCTTGCAGTCCAAGGGACTCTCAAGAGTCTCCTAGATTCTACAATAAACCATAGAGCCTCCCTTCCAAAGCTGCCATTTCCTGCAAGCAAAATTATCTATGTAACCCGGACTAAAGTTGTAATTCCTGGGGGAGTCCAGGCTTCACCTGGAGGTTGGCAACCCAACAGCAATATGGGGATGATTCCAGGCTGCTTTACAAGTCTGGCCAAATGGTCTTTGCAGATTTTTCACATGTGGCCTAACATACTAACCGAAGAGGACAGCGGAATGAGCATTCATACCAAGATCAATGACGTCTCTATGGTAACCTCTTTGGCCTTCTTGAGCAAAAAGAACCTCCCCTCTTGTTGGTATTACAGCAGTGTTATTAGTAGGAAATCGTAAGAATCTGTATTCGATCCTTCAAATTATTTTGTATTGGAATATCCTAAATATGGGCACGTATGTACGCAGGAGCTGTGGTGGCTCAAGTGGTTAAGACGCTGAACTGCAGGGTGTGGAAGGTCGGTGGTTTAGCAGTTCGAGACTCAAGTGCTGCATGACGGAGTGAGCTCCCGTCTCTAGTTCCAGCTCCTGCCAACCTAGCAGTTTGAAAGCAAGAAATTGCAAGTAGATAAATAGGGACCACTTCGGTGGGAAGGTAACAACATTCTGTGCGCCTTGGTGTTTAGTCATGCCGGCCACATGACCACGGAAACGTCTTCGGACAGTGCTGGCTCTTCGGCTTTGAAACGGAGATGAGCACCGCAACCCTAGAGTCGGATTCGACTCGCTTTCGAGCAAGGGAACCTTTACCTTTATGCACACAGGAGGATGCTACTGTGCTGCAGGTCAACACTTCTCACTTAATATTCTTTATTATTTAGTACATCTTTATCCCGCTTATCAAGGAGCTGAATAGGCTGACCCCATAAAATCCCAGGGCAAAAGCACACAAGTAACCAGTTTATTGAAAGAATAGCCAACAAATTACCAAAAGTCACACAGAACCCAAAACAATAAAGCTAGCTTTTATCTACCTAACATTGTTGAGAACTCTGTTAGGTGGTACAAAAGTTACATCCAGAGGAAGGCCTCAAATTAGCATAGACTAATTGAGCGGTGGCTCAAGTGGTTAAGATGCTGAACTGCAGGCTGTGGAAGGTCGGCAGTTAAGCAGTTCGAGACCCGAGTGTGCCGCATGACGGAGTGAGCCCCTCGTTTCTAGTTCCAGCTCCTGCCAACCTAGCAGTTCGAAAGCAAGAAATTGCAAGTAGATAAATAGGTACCACTTCAGTGGGAAGGTAACAGCATTCCGTGCGCCTTGGTGTTTAGTTATGCCGGCCACATGACCACGGAAACGTCTTCGGACAGCGCTGGCTCTTCGGCTTTGAAACGGAGATGAGCACTGCAACCCTAGAGTCGAATTCGACTGGCTTTCGAGTAAGGGAACCTTTACCTTTACTTTAGAAGAAGAAGAAGAGATTGGATTTATACCCCACCCGTCACAACCCAAAGGTGTCTCAGAGCGGCTTACAAACTCCTTTCCCTTCCCCTCCCCACAACAGACACCCTGTGAGGTGGGTGGGACTGAGAGAGCTCTTCACAGAGACTGCTCTTTTTCAAGAACAGCTGTGCCAGAACTTAGGCTTGCCCAAGGTCATCCAGCCAGGTGCAAGTGGAGGAGTGGGGAATCAAACCCGGTTCTCCCAGATTAGAGTCCACGCACTTAACCACTACACCAAACTGGCTCTTTACAATTTCAGCAACATAGATTCAGGCCACTGTCCATGAAGTCTCAGAAAAAAGGCTGCTTATTCATGTGTAGCCAAAGGTGTCCATAGAGTTCTTCAGAACATTTTCTTCTTGGTGCGCACCTCCCCATGACAGATATGAACTTCGTCAGCTAGACTACATCTTCTGTTACAGCTAAGACTGCCAGGTCCTCCCTGGCTACTGGTGGGAGATGTGGGAGCAGGGTTGCCAGCTCCAGCTTGGGAAACTCCTGGAGATTTTGGGATGGAGCCTGGGGAGGACAGGAACCACAGTGGGGTCCAATGCCATAGAGTCCACCCTCCAAAGCATCCATTTTCTCCAGGGCAACTGACCTCTGTAGTCTGGAGATGAATTCCAGGGGATCCCCAGATCCCACCTGGAGGCTGGCATCCCTAGTTGCAGCTCTAGCATTCTGGAGGCGGTTTTGTTTTCAGAAGATGAGTGTGTTTTTTAAAACTGCGATACTCTTTAGTGATTTGCAGATTGGTAGGAGCTGGCTGTAGTCCTGTTGGGTTTTAACTGCTGTGATTTTAATGTGATTGTCCTTTGGGCAAATCGATTTGTTTTTAGTAGGATGCAGTTTTTTGTATCAATGGTTATCTCTGTAGGAAATAATGTAGCTGTAACCTTGTAGTTATCTCAGGAGTCAACAGCAAGAACCTTTGCTTAAGCACAGGAAATCCCACATTAAACCTTTCAAAATACAAAGGATTTTGATAGAGCGCCATAAGGTGTTCCAGAGTTCTGACAACAGTTCTGTGAGTGAGACAGGCAGTCCTTGAAGTCCTGAATGATCTTCCGTGGGGGTGGGCAAGAAAACCGTATAGTTCTAACAAGTTTGGGAAAGAACTGTCTTTCTATACAATCCGTCCTTTCCACAAAGATTTTCAGAGTGGTGTATATGGTTACTTCCCCCCCCCCCCCAGTTTGGTGTAGTGGTTAAGTGTGTGGACTCTAATCTGGGAGAACTGGGTTTGATTCCCCACTCCTCCACTTGCACCTGCTGATGTGACCTTGGGTCAGTCACAAGCTCTGGCACAGCTGTCCTTGAAAAAGAGCAGTCTCTGTCAGAGTTCTCTCAGCCCCACCCACCTCACAGAGGGTGTCTGTTGTGGGGAGGGGAAGGGAAAGGAGTTTGCAAGCCGCTCTGAGACTCCAAGTGAAGGGCGGGGTATAAATCCAATCTCTTCTTCTTCTTTTTCTTTACCCTCTCAACCACCCTGTTTGGTAATTTCAAGAGGGTGGCATATTGGTATGCAGCAGAAGCCCCCTCTCGTCAGACCTCAGAAGCTAAGCAGGGTCGACCCTGGTTAGTATTTGGGTGGGAGACCACCAAGGAAGTCCAGGGGCATGATGCAGAGGCAGGCAATGGCAAAGCACCGCTGAATGTATCTTGCCTGGAAAACCCTATTGGGCAGGGGTGTCGAACTCATTTGTTATGAGGGCCAGCTCTGACATAAATGAGACCTCGTTGGGCTGGGCCATGTGTGTTGTAAAATGTAATGCCAGGTAGCGTAGATATAAACTTTATAAAGGACACAGACACAAAGGTTTTTTTTAAACTTAAAATAAAAACATGCTTGAAACGTTAGCACTCTTGCAATATTTTGTTTAACAGTGTCTGCTAACTGACACGTTTTGCTCTGAATTATCGCATCAAAATGTCTGTGCTGTTGCAATCTTGAGTATGCTGTTCAGGTGTGCATCTGTAAGCTGCAAATTTACGATATTGCAGCAACAGCAGAACCGGAAGAAGAAGCAGAAGACAGTTCCACTGTGGGCCTGATAGAAGCCCTCCGGGGACCTAATCCGGCCGCCAGGCCGCATGTTTGACACCCCTGCTATAGGGTCATAATAAGTCAGCTGCAACTTGATGGCACTTTCCACCACCACCAAAAGACCAAGATTCGAATCCAGAAGCTTTTGAGAGTCAAAGCTCCCTTTATCAGATATCTTGTTTGTCTGGATGGTGCTACTGGACTCGAATCGTGTTGGTTAGGTTAGGCTGAGAGAGGGGGGTGGTAAAATAAAAGTCCAGTGGCACCTTTATAGATGAGCAACACTTATTTCAGTATGACTGTTTGTGAGTCACGCCTTGTCATACGTGAAGGGAAGATTGTCCTGAGAATTCTTATGGGGAAGATTAAAAGGGGGGAAAGAGAAGTTGAGGCGGAGAGGTTTGATGTGAATTGCGTCATGAATGTTCCAAGTGTATATTATCTGTGTAAGGGGAAAAGAGGAAGGTTGAGGTGGAGAGGTTAGATGTGAATACTGTCGTAAATCAGCATATGTAAGTTGTGGTTCCAAGTAATCTTTGCCATGGATATTCTTAATTTCTTTTTCTTTTCTTTTTTCAGTACAGGAAGCAGTGACCCTTACTGTATTGTGAAAATCGACAATGAAGCCATCATCAGGTAAGCTGGCCGTACTTCCCTGCCCTAAATTTAACTCTTTCTCTTCTCGCATCCTTTTTTCTGGAGCCACAAACAGGATCATCAAGGTTCAGGGATATTTTCCTTGCTTCCGACTGTGTGTAAAAGTTCAGAAAGAGTACTTTTTTAGTTTAGTTTATCCCAATTTTTAGCCAAGTTTGGCTCCCAAACCGGTTCACAGTAATTAGAGGGGTGGGGGAGAGAAATCCAGTTTTAATTAAATAAAAATTGTATCCTGGAATTCTAACTGATCTCCAGACTATATAGGTCAGTTAACCTGGAGGAAATGACAGCTTCAAGGGGGAGACTCTATGGGGAATTTCACATTACCCAGTTTCACCCGGTTTCAAGCCTGTAATGATCCGTCATGGAATAAACCGGTATAGGGCTGCCATTTCACACATGGCTTTCCCCTTCCGCTAACGAGTGGGATCTGAAGCGGTTTGCCATTTCAGACTGCACCGCTTTTTCCGGCTTTCCCCCCACCGTTTTTTGCCCGTGCGGGTGATCTCCGGGTTTTTTTTTGAACATTCGCTTTAGAGTGCTATAGCACTATAGCAGTATAACAAAACACTCCATGCATTTCAATGGGATCGATATAATGCTGTTCCGTTATAGCGCTATAACGCTATAAAGCAAACGTTAAAAAAAAAGTCGGAGACCGCCCGAGCGGGCGAAAAATGGAGGGGAAAAGCGCATTGGAACCAGGAGAGGAAACTGAGGAGTACTTGGAAGCGGTTGACAGGTAAAACGCTTCAGCCCCATTTCCTAAACGGGACAGAAGCGATTGTGTCTGAAATGACAAATATATTCCGGAAGGGAACCAGTTCTCAAACGGTTCTGTCTGAAATGACAGACCAGAAACCGTTTGGGAACCGTTCCTCTTCCGGAATATATCGCTCATCTGAAATTCCTCTATGGGATCATGTCCCTGGTGCGCTCCCTCCCCTCCCCAGACTTCACCCTTCCCAGGCTCTGTGCCTCCAAATCTTCAGGAATTTGGAGGGGGGGGCTCCTTCTGGATTTCCAAATGTTGTTATGTGTGAAGGAGAAATCCTCCTGCTGCTTCCTCGAGGAACATTTATAACTTTAAGGTGTAGACCTAGCTCTCTCAGCTTTAGCAGTCTCCAAAGGATGGCTCTTCTATGTATTTTCAGTAAGCTTCTTCTTCTTTTTTGGTTAATCCCTTCCTTCTCTCAGGACAGCCACAGTGTGGAAAACCCTGTTCCCTTTCTGGGGTGAAGAATATGAGGTCCACTTGCCCCCCACTTTCCATTGTGTCTCCTTCTATGTGATGGACGAAGATGCCCTAAGGTATGATGTCACTTCCTGTGGATTCCATTCATACTTCCTTTTGTTCCGTCCCCGTCATTGGTTACTAGCATCTTATATCGTGAAGGTATGCAATTGCTGTACACTGAACTGGACCACTGGGCCATCTAGCTCAGTACTGAAAATCGTTGTCTAGAGTTTGGGGCAGAGGAAGATCTTCTGCAACGTCTGCTCGCTGGGACCATCGGACTGAACCATTCTCCTCATCACGATTTATTTACTTCATCCATCTTGTTTTCCTTCAGACCTCAAAATCCCGTTCCCACTGTGTTCATAATCGAGGAGGGCAGCGAAGCATTTGAAGGGGGGGGGGAACTTGACACACACACCCTGCAAAATTAGCTGCTTTGGTAGCCCTGTTTGGGGAGAAAGTGAGATATAAATGTTGTAAATAAATAGATTTATTACAAATTGAGTGTCTCTTAAGGTTTTCCGGGTGATGCCCCATCTGGACATTGACACAATGCAGGCTTGTTCAGTATCAGCAGGATTGCTACATCACTGCAGTTGGAAGAATTCTTCTACACTTCCCCAGACAAAGGATGTTTTCAAAATTCCCCTTGTCTAAATGTCCCCCTGGATTACCTGGTCTTGTTTCTAAAGCGGAACTGATGCATTAGGCATCCTATACTCTGGCATTTTTTTAATTTCTGCATTTTGTACAGACCTCTGTCTACACATGCTTTGACATTGGTCTCAGTTCCTTCCGTCTTTTTTTCTGTCCCTTGGGTATGGATGTATATGTGCACATGGATAAAAACCTGCAGAAGCAGATTCTAGATGGGATTATTTGTATGGTTGCATCAAAAATCTTTTTGCATGCCGCTTTACCTTACGTTTTGTGCCGGAGCACGTGTGGGCATGTAACGAAGTTTATATGTATGATTGCATTGATTTTTTTTTTTGCATTGTTTTATCAATGTGTACATTCTCATCGGTAATGCAAAAGAAAGGAAATAGGCAAAGGAAGCGAAACCCATCTCATACTGTGCACACTCTAATTCCAAAATGAATTAGATAGTTAGCATGGAATGCAGCGCTAGAGGGGAACAGCAGACTAACAGAGGAACAGGGAACATCCGTTCATGCCAGCACTTTGCCAGCAGTGTTCCCTCTAAGCTGAGTTAGTGTGAGCTGGCTCACAGTTTTTTAGCCTCCGGCTCACACATTTTTGCCTTCGCTCAGGAAGGAGGGCTCCAGAGCAAACTAAATTTATGTAGCAGCCAAATCGCTCGCTCACAACTTTAATGAGCCAGTTTGGTGTAGTGGTTAAGTGTGCGGACTCTAATCTGGGAGAACCGGGTTTGATTCCCCACTCCTCCACTTGCACCTGCTGATGTGACCTTGGGTCAGTCACAAGCTCTGGCACAGCTGTCCTTGAAAAAAGAGCAGTCTGTGTCAGAGCTCTCTCAGCCCCACCCACCTCACAGGGTGTCTGTTGTGGGGAGGGGAAGGGAGAGGAGTTTGTAAGCCGCTCTGAGACTCCAAGTGAAGGGCGGGGTATAAATCCAATCTCTTCTTCTCTTCTCTTCTAATGCCAGTGGCTCACAAAGTAGAGTTTTTGCTCACAAGGCTCTACAGTTTAGAGGGAGCATTGTTTGCCAGGCCTATATAATCTGACATTTTCAGGGTTTAACCTTTCGTGGTGGTCCGTGACAACCTTTTGTTCTCCCCCCCCCTTTTGTCTCTTTGTTCTTCTGCCAGCCGGGATGACGTGATCGGGAAAGTCTCCCTTACCCACAGCCTGCTGGCTGAGCATCCCAAAGGTGAGATTGATTCTCCCAGCAGAGGATCTATTTTTACTTTTGAGTGAGTAAACAGAGCAGAGGTGGCTCCGTGACTTTTTAAAGCCAGTACTGGCAGTTCTTCTCTATTAACTGGTGTTGAGTCAGTTACAGTCAGTGGTGATTGGCCATTCATCCCACCAGAGAGAATCCCAGTGGGCAGAGGACCCGGGGCACAGGTCCCGTGAGAAGTATTTGGAAATGCTACTTTACACAGGGAGTGATTAAAATGTGGAATTCGCTGCCGGGGGTATAGTGATGGCCACAGGAATAAACAGCTTTAAAAGGGGATTAGATAGTTTCATGGAGGATAAATCTGTCAATGGTTACTAGCCATGGTGGCTGAGGGGAACCTCCACATTCAGAGGCGCTAAACCTCTGAATCCGAGAGCCAGGAGGTAACATCAGGGGAAGGCCTCGGCCTCTGTGTCCTGTTGTTGGCTGTCCAGAGGAACTGGTTGGCCACGGTGTGAGACAGGATGCTGGACTAGACGAACCACTGGTCCGATCCAGCAGGGGTCTTCTTAAGTTCTTACGAAGGCCTCGGCCTCTCTGTCCTGTTGTTGGCTGTCCAGAGGAACTGGTTGGCCACTGTGTGAGACAGGATGCTGGACTAGTCGGACCACTGGTCCGATCCAGCAGGGGTCTTCTTAAGTTCTTACGAAGGCCTCGGCCTCTCTGCCCTGTTGTTGGCTGTCCAGAGGAACTGGTTGGCCACAGTGTGAGACAGGATGCTGGACTAGACAGACGACTGGTCCGATCCAGCAGGGGTCTTCTTAAGTTCTTACGAAGGCCTCGGCCTCTCTGTCCTGTTGTTGGCTGTCCAGAGGAACTAGTTGGCCACGGTGTGAGACAGGATGCTGGACTAGACGGACCACTGGTCCGATCCAGCAGGGGTCTTCTTAAGTTCTTACGAAGGCCTCGGCCTCTCTGTCCTGTTGTTGGCTGTCCAGAGGAACTGGTTGGCCACTGTGTGAGACAGGATGCTGGACTAGTCGGACCACTGGTCCGATCCAGCAGGGGTCTTCTTAAGTTCTTACGAAGGCCTCGGCCTCTCTGCCCTGTTGTTGGCTGTCCAGAGGAACTGGTTGGCCACAGTGTGAGACAGGATGCTGGACTAGTCGGACCACTGGTCCGATCCAGCAGGGCTCTTCTTATGTTCTTGCGAAGA